TTTTAAAATGATTAAATAAAATAATAATTCTTCAAAGCATAAATATTTGCTCCTTAATAATTAGTAGATGTGAAAAACATTACCATTGAAATCTACCTGATGACTTTATATCCACGCTCAGATGCCAAGGAGCTCACAAAGTAACCGACTGTGACCAGTAATAATCAGATATATAAAGATTAGAAATGCATGTGCATTTTACTGTTAATCGTATTGAAAATGAATTTTTCTGTGTGAAACTGTGTATTTTAATAATAAAATGGAGATCTTTTTTAAAGGTTAAACCCTCATTTAGTTTTATGTCTTATAGGGTTTATATTGAGTAAAATATTGTAAAACTGTAACAATTCAACTGTAAACCTAAAAATTTACAGCAAATTTTGAAAAAGATGCACCTTAGCTCAGAAAATTGTTATTGAATATGTCAATGCTGTTGTAATGAAATGCTTCTTCTAAGTATGTGGTTATTAAATAAATAATAAACTGAAAAAAAAGTGCTCAACATCCTTAGTAATTAGAAAAATGTAGATTAAAGCCACTTTAATATTCCATCTTACCCCAGTCAGATTGGCTAAGATCAAGAGAATGAAAGACTACAAATGTTGGAGAGGATGTGGAGAAAGAGGAATGCTCATTCACTGCTGGTGGGAATGCAAACTTGTGTAACCACTATGGAAAGCAATGTGGAGAAACCCCAAAAAACTAAAAGTGAACCTATCATATGTTGTAGTGATATGACTCCTTGGCATATACCCTAAGGACTCATCATACTGCAGCGATGCCTGCAAATCAATGTTTGTTGCTGCTCTCTTCACAACAGCTAAGAAATGGAAACAACCTAAATGTCCCTCAATTGTGGAATGGATAATGAAAATGTGATACATTCACACAATGGATTTTTACTCAGCCGTAAGAAAAGGTGAAATTATGAAATTTTCAAGTAAATGGATGGAACTAGACAGTGTTATAATAAGTGAAGTAACACAAATACAGAAGAGCAACCAATGTATGTTTTTCCTTATTTGCAGATTGTAGCACCAGTCTCTTATATGTGAGTGTATAAATTCTGATGTAATACCCGGAGCCTGGAAAATGGAAAAGATGCATGGAGGTATAGGAAAAGAAAGAGCCCCAAAGGAGGATAGTAGGAAATAGATGTTGCAGGGTGGCAGGAAGTGTGAGTGTTTGGCAGGGAGGACAGGAAGGAAGGACATGCAAAGATCTATGGTGTTTGGGGGTAAGGGAATCAGGAGAGCATGGATGGTAGGAGGCAGGCGTTATTGGGGGGAGAGTAGGGATAATGGGGGCACTGGGACTGGGGAGGGAGGAGAGAGGCTGGATGGGAGGAAAAAAAGTAGAAATGAATGAATCTTGGGGGGCTAGGAAGCCGAGAGGGAAATGTGATGCCCTTGAAATCCCATGGGAAATGCACATACAGTGTCTCAACATCAGTGAATATGTATATTTTGGAGCCATTTGGCAAGGAACACAGTGCCAGGCAGAAGAGACTTCCCTTTGAGTAGTTGGTGAGGGTGGTCCACTGGGAAGGCAATGATGGGGGAAGGGGGTCTAAATTTGATTGGGAACTGTTGTATGAAATGACAAATGCTCAATAAAAGTTTTTTAAAAAGAAATATTAAGATTTTAAAATAAATTTTTCACTTTTTAATGTAGGATTTCTCAGGGTTTTAATGTAGTGATAACAATACATATTTTGAATGCCCTGATAAAATACAATTTATAGCATTTATTAAACTTATTTAACCAGTTACCCTATTTCCATAACCTATGGAGCAGTTTTTAAAACTTTTTTTTTAGAGCATCTCGTGGAACACAATTTGGAATAAAGTGCTGTCTTAATCTGTTTTCTATTGTAATAACAAAATACCTGAGATTGAGAGACTTATAAAGAAAAGATTCTTTTTTAACTCATAGTCTTGGAGGTGGAATGTGGGAGATTGGGTGTCCCCATCTGTTAGACTCTGGTGAGGGACTCATGACAAATGACACCACAAAGTCAGGAGCAAGTACTGAAGAACAGCTTAGTAAAGCAGGAAGTGAAGAGATGTAGGGGCTTGGCTTGATCTTCTGAAAAGCAGTTAAGAGCACTGACTGCTCTTGCAGAGGACCTGGGTTTGATTCCCAGCACCCACATGGCGGCTATGAACCATCCTTAACTCCAGTTCCAGGGGAATCCGAAGCCCTCTTCTGACCTTTGTGGCACTGCAAGACATGGGTGCACTCACATACATGCAGGCAATACACTCATACATATAAAATTAAAGTAATAAATAAAATATTTTAAAAAACCCTACTGGGAACTGATTGTAACACATAGTAACTACATTGATTTCCACAGAGGGTGGTACTGCCAATTAACTAGTCATTTACTTAAGCCCCACCTTTTAGAGTTCCTACCACTTCCTAATGCCACATGCTGAGACCCATGCTTCCCACACATGAACCTCTGAGAATACATTCAACCAATGAAAATCACATCAGTAGTCTGCTCAGAACAGATGTCTTCTGTCTCAAGCATCCTTCCCATGTACCATTCAACTTTGGCTTAAATCACCCTAATAATGGTAATCCTCCAAACTTGCATGCTCATATTTTTCCTTGCATGCTCATATTTTTCCTTGTTTCTAGTATCCAGTTACTTTAACTCATCATACTGTTAAGCACAAGTGTAAAAACTAATATTGACAGAAATTGATTTAAGTGTTTTCTCTATTCATTTCTTGAATACAGTACAGCAAACCTATGAGGTAAGGTCTACTTTTGTCCTTATTTGCTGAGACCTGACCAGAGGTTTTATACACACACACACACACACACACACACACACACACACACACATTAGGCAAGGACATAGATTTCAGAAATGGTAAAGTCACAATTTGTACAGAGGCTCCGTGGCTTCTGGGTCTATATTCTTAACCACATGCGAG